CATTGACCATATACGATGCTTAGTAAAATAAAGTGGCCGTGCAGTTCATCGATCACCGTTTTTCAAAAGTTAGCAAAACACATAGTGAATAAAAGGATTGACGTTGCTGTAGACAAAAAAACATTTTTTAGTTTAAAACGTTTTTTTATTCGGCACTTTTTATTATTTTATACAGTCTCCATGATTCCGGAAATTGTATCAATAAGTTTAGAACCTTTAAATTCTTCATGATTGTAACCTGTTTACTAGAAGGTAAAAAGATTAACACTAAGCTGTCCTACATGAAATTTTCAACAATTTGTATTGAGTACATTTTTTATAAACATCATAGCACCCCCTAAAAACAAAATTCAAAAAAGTAGTAAAAAAGGGCGCGGTGTCCCCTTTTAACCTTAGTTGCCATTTTTTATTTTTCTGTTTTTCTTTGCAAAAAAGAGGGAATTACTTTGTATAACAAATACTTAAGCAATGGTTTAACATTTTATCCTATTTATGATGTTGGCATCAAACAAGGATGACAGAAAACGCAACATTTTGTTTATTTTTACAAATTTAACAGCTTTTCTTTTTCTTTTCCTTTCACTATAAGTAGCACCTTTCATAAAAGAGAAAGAGTGATAAATGTGAAAAATATTTTTTCATTTTCTCATTGATCAACTACCCCTTCTCTAACCAAAGTGGTACTCTCCCTACTAAAAACCCAAGTAAAGCTAAAAAAGAAAAATCTTTAAAAAAATGCGTTTTATTTGCACCTAGGCACAACGTTAGCCAGCACCAACAGTTGTGAGCAGTGGTTTTGGGCGTAAATGCCAGCAGAGAAGATGCTACTTTTAGTACAGTGTCGGTGGTTACGCCAATTCACAAAAACTGTCATCAAAGGTAACAGGCAAAAATGGAATATAAAAGTCAGCCCTGCAGCCCTGGGAAAAAGTCACTTTATTGTACAATTTTATCAACATCAACCACGCCATCATGACCCCAAACAGCACTTCTACTTCTGCTTCAGAAGAAACGGAAGTGGACCAGCCGCTCTTTGACACCGACTACGACCTGGAGCGAGACCTAAAGACTGGGGAGCGCATTATCACCGAAGAGGCGGCGGCACTAGCCGTTCAGCGCATCGGCCTCGCCGAGACCGCCTACACGCCAATACCGTACAAGCAGTACTTTGTCTGGCACAAACTCATTTTTGTTAGCATTGCCCATGCCCTTGCCTTCTACTCCCTCACCTACTTTCCCCAGGTCAGCTGGGGGATGATTTTCTATAATATACTGGTTGGCGTGTTCTCTATAACAGTGGGCATTCAGGTGGGCGGTAAGTTTCAGACCAAATCAGAATCATAAACTAGAAATTTTTATTATTTTCTTTTCTTTGTTTTCTGGTTTTCAGCTCATCGCTTGTGGGCGCATCGTTCTTTTAAAGCTCGCTTCAGTCTGCGCGTCCTCCTCATGTGCTTCAACACGATGGCCCTGCAGACGAGCATTTTTGAGTGGAGCAGAGATCACCGGGGCCACCACAAATGGTCCGACTCTGATGCCGACCCCTACAATGCCAATCGGGGCTTCTTTTTCAGCCATGTCGGTAAGTGATCGTTTGATGAGTATTTTCTGAGTATAACACCTTTTTCCCCTTTCAGGCTGGGTTGCCCTGAACAAGCACCCCGAGGTGATTCGCAAGGGCAAGACCATTGACATGAGCGACCTGCTCGCCGATCCGGTGGTGATGTTCCAGAAACGGCACTACTACCCGCTGGTCTTCGTCTTCTGGTTCCTCCTTCCCACAGTCATTCCCGTGTACTTCTGGGGCGAGCCCATTTGGAGGACTATTCTCTTGGTGGTCATTTTTCGTCATGTGTACACACTGAACACAACCTGGCTGGTGAACAGCTGGGCGCACATGTACGGCTGGCGACCGTATGATCGTCGAATTGCCCCAGTCGAAGCCTCTATTCGTCACCTGCTGATGGGCGAGGGTTTTCACAACTTCCATCACGCCTTTCCTTGGGACTACTCGGCCAGTGAACTGGGACCGTTGGACGTCTTCAACCCTGCCACTGCCTTCATCGACCTCTTCGCCAAAATGGGCCTCGCTTATGATCTGAAGAAGGCGAACACCAGTCTGGTGGAACGGAAGCTGGCTGCTCTTGGCGATCGGGCAGTGACCAAAGACGGCAAGGGCAGCTACTACAAAAGTCGGGTGGATATGTTGACCGAGTGGGTCGGTGGGCTGGTCAGCCTTCTCAGCCCAGTGATCATTCTCAAGGTGGTTTTAGGGGTTATCTACGGTGGTGGTGAGGCTACTGCCTAAAAGTTAATACCCAAACCCCTTTTCCGGTTCCTACAAACAAGTGATTTTTAGACCCTTTTTCTGTTCTGTTCTTGCATCATCGATGCCTATGTTTAATTTATAAAAGTATGTTTACTATACGTTGACTGTAGTGCACTACTGCGATAGTTTTACAACAATAAAACAACGCTACTTTGTATATTGAAAAATTGATTTTATTGTCCGATTTGTAACTGTTTGATAACTGTTACTGATACGGTTAATGCAAACAAACATTTACGTTTGGGCGTTTTGCATTCGTATTGTCCGATCGGTGAAGTATAAAAAGGCGGCACAAAGTAGTAACCTAAACACACAAACAAAAACTTTAAATCATTAACAAACAATCAAACAATCAATCAACTGAAAATGAAGCTTTTTTTAATTTGCGTTATTGTGGCATTTTTTGGTGTTGCTCATGGTAAATCGCCAACTCAACAAACCTCTTTTATAAAACTTTTTTGTTTTTTTGCAGGAGTACCTGATCCAGCCCTGCCCAAGCTCAACTTCACCATCGAGCTGTCTGCTCTAAAGGTGCGCTCAAAAACGCTGCATGATCAGACGACTGCCCTCTCCAATGACCTGATCCAGGGCGGCTACCGTCATCTGGTAGACGGGCTAATCACCCAGCTGGGCATTCTCTGGAACCTCAACTACGACCTGGAGCATTCGACCGGCCAACTGAGCATCACCGAATGGAATATCCTCTCAGCGGCAATGACCCACCGAGAGGACCGAGTCAAGGAGGAGCTGGCCATTGTAAGAGAGGTGCAAAAACAAAGCTCTTCAGGACAGCTCAACTGGAGCCGCT